CCTCTGCCTCATGTTCCCGTGTGACCCCACCCCACCCCACCCTGAGCAGAGTAACAGACAGCACCACTCAGCATCAGAGTGCTCTCACCGTGCCAGGCACTGAATCCAGAGCCTCGCCTGAATTCTCACAACAACCCTTTTAAGGTGTCATCGAAAGTGAGGTGATGAGGGGTGCCTGGGTGGCTCAGTCTTAAGCGTCCGACTTCGGCTCGGGTCATGATCTCACGGTGAGTTTGAGCCCCACATCGGGCTCTGTGCTGACAGGTCAGGGCCTGGAGCCTGCTTGGGATTCTTGTGTCTCCCTCTCTCTCTGCCCCTCCCCCGCCCGTGCTCTGTGTCTCTCTCTCTCATACTGCAATGAACTCACTGGTAGAAGTACAAAAGATGAAGTTCTGGAGGGTCAACTATTCAACTCCATTTCGCGAATGTAGAAAAATGGAGAGAAAGGTTTGTAATCAAGGGCCAGGGAACGCGCGGCTGTGGAGTCATTCAGGATCAAATCCTGGTGCTCTCCCTGACTGGATCTCACCTGTTACAAAGTGGGGAAAATAACATCTACTTTCAAAGTTTCGTGGGGAAACAAGGTACTGAAGAAACACATAAAAACCCAAGCTCTGCATGTCCACAGCAGATACTCGGATGGTGCCTGTCATCACTGTCTTCCCAGGGTCCCCAGGGTTACTCCCAGGACACAGAGGAGATGCCACAGGGACACGTGAGACTCTGTACAAGTTGGAAATTCAACATACTCGGCTCAGGTCTGTTCCATATTTGCGGTGAAGTTCGTCAAGGCTAAGTTTATGGTCATCCTAAGGAAAAACAGAAACAGAAGACTTAAACACTGTACCAGAAAAAAAACACTGGGGTGAAGCATTCATGTGGCTCATTGCTGCTACTAAGCTCCAAAAACGGGCTTTTCTCCGGTGCAGAAGGCGATACACGTCTCTCACCGCGGCCTAATGGATCTGCCACCACACAGCTGTGTGCCGAGCGCCCATCACCAGAGGACAGAGACAGCTGTGGCGTGAAGTCCCTGGGTGCCCGCCACATAACTTCAGAAAACCCCATCAGTCCTGGAGCTCGAGGAAAACCTTGCTTGCCTTCTCTGATGACCAGGGAGGTTCTAGCCAGCCTGTGTCTGTGGAAGCCTCCAGAGCCCGGAAGGTCGGAGGTTCCCCGGGTTTGGTATAATCCAGAAATAGAGAAAAGCAAAGGCCCATGATGTATCAACCACACTTCCTTCTGTGCACCTTTGGCTAGGCCAGGGTGCCTGGATAACTCTTCCAACCCTCGTAACAGCCTGGAAAAATGGAAATTTTCCATACTGACCTCTATAGTTCGGTAAGGTCTGTACAATGACTGCTTTCCTTTTAAAATGAAGCCAAGTCTCTGACTCAAATGACTGGGGGGAGGGGGAAGATCATACAATAAAAATGATACAAGTAATTTTTAAGGAGAACGAAAAGCATTTTAATACTCACCATAGAAACTTCTTTCTTCAATTCATCCATATCCCTCTCTTTCTTGGCCTTCTTTTTGTCGCCATGCTCTGAAACAGCTGCAGGTTCATATTTATCACGTCCAACCTACCAAAGAATGTGGGGAAAGTGTGGTGGTTGTGCATTATGAACGAACAGAAGATTCTGGGGCAAGGGATTTCGGCATTTTTTAGGGCAGCCATCATTCTGAATAGTCAACGGGATGATAATCATGGAAACGTACTGCTTACATGACATCCTAAACAAAAGCAACCGTCCTAAGCTCAAGATGTGCCATCCGCGCCCAAGGGCAGTAAGACCAGTGAAGTCACGGCAACCACGGGATGGTCCTGCCAGTCACTTCCATTTGGGGTGTATAGGGAGGGGCCTGCGCTATCAAAATCTCTATCCCACAGCCTTCCACCTTCCCCACTGCAAGAATGAAATCACCTTTCCATTATTAACTTAGGAGTATCATGCTCAGGTCTTTGCATTCTGAGCAGAAGAGTCTGAGTTAGAATCTGCACTCTACCACTCACTACGGAACCTGGGGTCGGCCACTGACTCTTGCTGGAGCTTCAAGTTTTTCTTCCACAGCATGGAGAGAATAGCGCCAACCTCCATTTCTGGAAGAACCAAATGCTAACTTAAACAAAACACCTAAATGCTAAGTGGCTTTTGTTATTATGCTCAAATTCTTAGATTTGCAAAGAAGTCATTAAATATCGAATTTAAGTTCTTTCAGGGCTTACATCAGAACACCGATCTTTCCATCTTCTAATCAAAAGCCATCCTAAGAATCCTTGAAATTATTAAAAAAAAAAAAAAAAAAAA